CAGAGAGACAGAGAGTGAGAAAAACCAGAGAGACAGAAAACAAGAAACGTTCTTCTTTTAATTTCCAGAGGCATGTGCACTTTCCAGAGAGAGATAGTCAGAGAGAGAGATAAATGGAGAAAACACCCCCAAAAGGGACGTGTTCACATCACAGTCCTTTCTCTTCCATTTATCCATCCTGTCAGGATTTAGGGCTTGTGTACACATGTGCCCAGCATGTTTTGCAAGCTGCTAAGTCCAGTTTTAAAACCACGGGCAGCCAGGAACCAGCAGATGGCATAGAGGTTATTTCCCTGGTATCCCACATGGCAAACTGCAGAGCAAGTCCTGGACACAGTGCCTTCAAAATCACATTGGGCAAGCCGAAGATCCCTGGAGGAGAAGGGATTGCTGTGTGGCCATCCCCCCGGGAGGTGATCTCTCACTTTTAGAAGGAAAGTGTCTGTGTGTGTGTCTGTCTCTCTCCCCGGCAAGCACATGCACCATAAGGCAAAAACCTCTAAAAAAAATAAAGCCCATAGTCATCCATATGAAATCCAGCTCCCTTAACTATTAGGCCACAGGGCCAGCCCCTCCAATTTATTCTTCTGTCTCTCTTCTTTTTAAGAGAGAGATATTTGCTATAAGGGTGCATATGCTCACTGGAAAGACAGAGAGAGAGAGAGACAGTAAAATGAGAAATAACCCCCTAGAAGGGATGGTCATGTTACAATCCCTTCTTCTCCATTCTCATCTTGGAATTTTTTTTTCTTTTTTTTTTTGGAAAGGTTTTTTTCTTATTGGGCACATGCGCTCATCATCACCCCCCAGATGTGATGGCCACACTGCAATCCCTTCTCCTCCATTCTCCTCTCAGAATCTTGGGCATGCACGCACACGCGCCTGATGTGAGTTTAAGCCACCGGGTCCGGGACTCGAACTGTGATTGACTACATGGGAGTCCAGCGACACAGCCATTACACTAACTGCTGGTCCCCCCTCTTGGAATTTTGATGGGCATGCACACACATGTGCCCAGTGTGTCTTAAGCCACCAGGTCCAGGACTTGAACCATGGTCAACTGTGCAGGAGTCCAGTGATGTAACTATTATACCATCCGCTAGTCCTCCAATTAATTCTTCCTCTTCTTTTTTTTTTTTTTTTTTTAAGAGAGATTTTTGCTATAGGGCGTGTACTCTCGCTGGAGAGACAAAGAGAGACAGAGAAACAGAAACGAAAAATCATCTCCCAGGGAGGATTCCCACGCCACAATTCCTTCTCCTCCATTCTCCTCTTGGGGTCTTAGGCACACATGCACACATGCCTGCCGTGAGTTTAAGTCTCCAGATCTGGGACTCAAACTGTGGTCAACTACATGGGAGTCCAGCAACATAACCATTACACCATCTGCAGGTCCCACCTCCAACTCATTCTTAATAGAGCAGCCAGAGGGCTCATAAATATAAAATATGGTCATACAACTCCCCTCCTTAAAACCCTCCAAAAGTCTTCATAATACTTGAAATCGAGGGGCCAGCAGGTGGTGAGGTAGTTACATTACAGGGCTCCCATGTAATTGGCCATGATTCAAGTCCCAGACCCAGTAACTTAAAACTCACGGTGGGCACATGTGCATGCATGCCCAAAATCCCAAGAGGAGAATGGAGAAGGGATTGCAGTGCGTCCACTTCCCAGGAGGGTGATTTCTCCACTTTCTGACCCTCTGGCGGCAAGTGCACACATCCTATAGCCAAAATCTCTCTAAAAATAATTAAAAATTAAAAAATGAAGTAAAATCTGGCTCTAGGGGCCAGCAGTTAGCATGATGGTCAAGGTGTTGGACTCCCACATGGATGACCATGATTCAGGCCCTGGACCTGGCATCTTGCTTTCTCTCTATCCCCCTCTCTCTCTCTCTTCTGGTCAAATTAAAAAATAATAATAAATAAATAAAATACATAATTATTTTTAAAATAATAGATAAATAAAATAAAATCTGGCTCTATCACTCTATTAGTTGTTAAAAGTTTCTTAACCTCGGGCCAGCAGGTGACACAGTGGTTAAAGGTGCTGGATTCCCACATGGCTGACCACAGTTCAAGTCCCAATCTTGGCGGCTTGCTTTCTCTCTCTCTCTCTCTGGTCAAATTAAAAATAATAATAACAAATGGAATTAAATAAATAAATAATTCTTAAAAAAAAAAAAAAAAGTTTCCTAACCTCTTGGGGCTAGCAGGTGACTTGGTAGTTAAGCCTCTTGTGGGGAGCCAAGAAGGAGACATGAGAAATGTGCAGGATGTGACCACCAGAATAAGACCAGGGTCTTTATCCGGACATGACCTTGGGTAGCTGGATTGTTATGAACAGAATGTCTTGGGATTGTTTTGAACTGAATGTTCCAAAGTATTGTTATAACAAACTGATAAATTCAGTAAGGACTTAAAACCTTACATCACAGAAGTCTCTGGAGTGTGCATAAATACTAGCAAATAAAGTATATAAAAAAAATAAAGTATACTCGTGGCTGACCAGTATTGACTGGCAATCCTCCCGTTTCTATCCTGTCTTCTTGTCTTTTCTTTAATCCTCGCCCCCCAACTCAGGAACTGTTTGCCCTCGGTGGGTCCGACAGCCTCTGGACTCCTACATGGCTGACTATGCTTCAAGTCCATGACCTGGTGACTTGCTTTCTCTCCTTCTCTCTCTGTCTTTCTCTGGTCAAAAAGAAAAAAAAATTTTTTTTTTGGTAGAAAAGAAGATTTAGTAGAAAGAAAAGAAGTAAACCCAAAAGACTCTTGGGAGGGCAGATTGCCAGGTGGCAACTGCTTCTCTGGTCAAATTTTAAAACTAATCGTAATGATGATGAATAAACTTAAATAATTCCTTGAAATAAATAAGTCTCCTAACCTCTCAATTTCCTTTTGTGTAAATGAGAATGACAACAATACTCTACGTCAGAAGGGTGCTCTGAGGATTAAATTAATTGTATGAATTAAAAAAATAAAATGCTTAAAACAGTTACCCTGGTCCCCATTCATTCCTAAGGTTCAGATGTATCCTGGAGACACTCTTGTATCCTTAAATTTCTTTTCTGGCTTAAATCAATTCATATACGTTTCTTGCTTGAATTCAGTTTTTTTTTTTTTTAAGAATTATTTACTTAGTTTTGTTATTGTTATTATTATTTTTAAATTTGACCAGAGACAGAGAGAGAAAAAGGGGAAGTGAGAAAGCAAGCTGCCAGGCTGGGAATCAACCCAGAGTCGGCCATGTGGGAGTCCAGTGCCTTAACCACCATACCACCTGCCAGCCCCCCACTTGCAATCAGTTTTAACTTCTTTTTCTAAAAATAAAAAAAAATATTTAACTTTACTTATTATTATTTTTTAAATGTGGCCAGAGAGAGAGAGACAGAAAGAGAGAGAGGGAAAGTGAGAAAGCAAGCCACCAGGTCTAGGACTTAAACTGCGGTTAGACATGTGGGAGTCCAGCGCCCTTAACACCACCCCACCTGCCAGCCCCCAGTTTTAACTTCTGAACAATACCCTTATACAAATCTACCTCAGTGTACTTATTCTTCTGTTGATAGCCATTTATTTTCTCTCTTCTTTTCTTCTTTGCTATTTGCCAGAGCACATGTAGGCTGTCAGAGAGAGAGAGAGAGAGAAAGGGAGAAAGCATCCCCTCCCCCACATGGGACATGGTCATGCCATAACCCTTTCTCCTCCATCTCTCTGTCCTTTTGGAATTTTGGACATACATGTACACAAACGTGGTATGTTTCTCCAGCTGCTGGGTCCAGGACTTGAATGACCCAGTCAATCATGTGACATCCTATAGCCTTAACCACTAGGATATGGGTTGGCCCAATAGCGATTTATTTTCAATTTTTCATTATCATGAATGAAACTTCAATGAACTCCTTATACATGCCTCTTCTCTCTGTCTCTCTCACTCACACACACACAAACACACACACACACTCACACTAGATTCTCCAGGGTATGTAACACTCAATTTTCCAGGGTATATATCTAAAAGTGGAATTGTCACAACTTTGGGATCTTAGTTTTTAAATCTTTTTTTTTCTTTTGAGATTTTTGCTATAGGGTGCATGCGCTATGACCACACTGCAAATCTCTTCATCCTACTCTTGGGATCTTGGGCACACACGCACACACGCCTGGTGTAAGTTTGAAGTCTCGGGTCCAGATTCCAACCATGGTCCACTATGTGGGAGTTCAGTGATGCCACCGCTACGCCATCTCCTGGTCTCAATAACAATTTTTTTATAAGACTACACCTGTTCTTGGGTTTCAGGAGAATCTCTGCTCAGTGGTTTTCTTATTTTAAAGTACCAGCTTCATGATCTGTCATCTCATCAGTTTACTCGAGTAGGTGAGCTTGGCGTTCTTCTGTGTGGTATTTAGGGGCAGTGACAGAACCCACGAGACTAGAGAGGTGGGCAGAGGCCAGACCATAAGGGTCCCGTATTTCGGGGCTATGTGCGCTGCGCAGAGGACAGGGAGGAGGACCGGTGACTACCTCTCTTAGATCAGGCATGGGGGTTATCGCCTCCCACCAACAAGAAACAGCTGTGGTAGGGAGACCTGGGACCTAGTCGTGTCTGACCTGGTTCCACTCTCCCTACAATCTCATCCAGTGTGAGGGCTGGTCTAAGGGCTCTCAGTGTCCCTGTCCATCTAGGCGTAAGATCCTATAATTATAGGGTTTTTCACAGATTGAGCTACCCTCTCTCCTGCCACTTCGCTATGCGCCATCTGCCGCCCACTCCGGAAGTAACTCGCCTGCGCTCTCCCGACCCTTTTGCCCTTCTTTCCTTGGTCTAATCGGTACCTATACCTTTAAGATCCTTGACCTGAAAGAAAAATTCGAGGACCAAAGCCAAGGAACAAACACTTGACGCTCCCCCTGATTGGTCCAGTCAGGGTAGAGGGCGGGCTGAAGCAAACTCTATATAAGTCATTGGTTTTCCCTCTGGCTCCGCCCCTTGAGGCAAGTGAGGACGCCCGTGATTGGCCAAGGGCTCTGGAGGCGATCTCCAACAGTGGCGCGGAGTTCTCTAGTCCAGCAGTGGCTGGAGCTGGGTGGGCGGCATGGCTAGCGTCCATGGGGAGGCGGGTGGGGACGCGGGGCAAGAGGGTATTGCTGCTGCCGGACCTTTCACCTTCAGCCCGGAGCCCACGCTGGAGGACATGTAAGCAGTCCTTGCCTGTCTGGTGTGAAGAGATCGCCCCTTTCTCGCTCACATTGGGGAGGGGCGCTCCACGTGGTCGGGAAGAAAGCTCGCCACCGTGATTAGGTCCCGCTTCTGCAGCTGACCCCGGGCGAGCCTCCTAACCTCCTCATCTGCAAAATGGGCGCAGCAACGTATACTTGAGGCAATGGAAATTGGGCGATGACCTGTGAATATTAGGATTATCTTTCAGCCCGCTCTGGGGGAAACTGGAGTCTGATACTGTCTACCCTCCAGGAGTGGGTGGTACCACAAGGGCAAATGAAATGCCCAGGGGTGGGAGAAATCAAAGCAGGCATCCTAAGGTAATCGGCCATGTAGCTGCAGATCGTAAGATAAGATTTGGATGTGCAGAGACAGTTGAAGGAAACTGCAGAAATAGCAACGGGAGTTGGAATGAATAGGGTATTGTTAGGTTTGGTTAGAGGTTAAGGTCTGCAGGAATGTGTCCATTTTATCAATGAGGAATCCAAGTCCCATAAAGAGGAAATGACTTGCTCAAGGCCATCCCAATAATTAGTTGCAGAATCCCGATATCCATGTCCCCATTGCATGTCACTAGGGTGCCTGCATCTCTTTTCCCATCCCCTAACCGAGACTTGGACCTCTACCCCTCTGTCTTATTCCAGCCGGCGCCTCCATGCTGAGTTTGCTGCTGAAAGAGACTGGGACCAGTTTCACCAACCTCGGAACCTCCTCCTGGCCTTGGTGGGGGAAGTAGGGGAGCTGGCAGAACTTTTGTGAGTAGATGGAAAGTTTCCTGGAAGAGACTGTGTTGTGGGAAAAGGAAGCATTTATTTGCTCATCAAACATCGGTAGATTGAATTTATCTTCCTCACTGTCAGGCTTTGTGCCAGGTACTGGGGATGACAGAGAGGATTCACACGTCCCTGCCCTCCAGGGGAACCCAATCTCCTGGGACAGAAAGTTGTGAAAACAGCAAAGCAGAACAGGTCCAAGAATCGTGGCAACCTGTGCTTCTGGGGCTGAAAGGAAGGTATTCCGTAGAAGACGTCCCTATGCCATTCCAGACTAGGGAACTAGCTTGTAATGCAATGAGGCAAGTTAAATTCAGGGAGAATCTGATACTTCACTGCTTCTCAAGAAAGATTGGGGGGTGCAGGTAGCATGGTGGTTAAGGTGCCGAATTCTCCCATGGCCAGCCATGGTTCAAGTCCCAGACCTGGTGACTTGCTTTCTCACTTTCCCTCTTTCTCTCTGTTTCTCTCTGGTGAGCACACATGCCCTATAACAAGTTTAAAATAATAATAAATTAAGTTTGAAAATTCTTTTTAAAAGACCTAGATTATTTTCTATTTTATTGTGTCTTAATCGCTGGCACTCAGTAGATGATCTACTGAATGCGTGATGTGGCTGTGGAGGTGAGGGATGTGAAAGAAAGGATTAAGGCTGGACAGTGATGGCATTTGGACAGAGAACTGATCAAATTTTTTTCCTTGATGATAGAGTGTGTGCTTGGGCACATGAGAGAGAGGGGAAAAAAGCTAAGCACCACCACAGGGTCTGGTCATGCTGCCATCCCCTCTTCCAGTCTTCCAGCCTGTTGGGTCTTATACACTCAGGTGCCTGCCTGGCATGTTTCAGGCTGACCAGAGAGGAGGCTGTTGTCAAGCAGGCAAGAGGTGGTGAGGCCTCAACCAGGGCTGTCCCTCTGGGGATGAAGAAAGGAGGGCACAGAGGCATGTGTGAGTACAAATCATTCATTCATTACAGATTTATGAGCATCAGCTCTGTGCTAGGCCTTCCAGTCTCAAGAAATAAGGCCCTGAACAGACAGATATAGTTCCTGCCTTCATGGTGAAAGGAGACTGACAATAAAGAAGTACACTAATTTTTAAAAAATAATGATTTATTTAACTTTATTTATCACTGTTGTAATTATTTTTTAAAATTTGTACAGCACACATGTACTTATCAGAGAGAAACAGAGGGAGAAAAAGAGAAAGTGAGAAAGCAAGCCACCAAGTCCAGAACTCGCACCATGGTTGGCCATGTGGGAGTCCAGCACCTTAACCACCATGCCACCTGCTGGTACCCGAGAAGTAAAATAATTTTCTAAAATCTAGAATCATGAGAAGTTCTGTGATGAACATAACACAAGATGATGAGAGAAAGTGACAGAGGGAGAAAGCTTTTTTTTTTCGGAAGTGACCTAGCCAATACCTAGGTAACAGGACAGAACCAGCAATGAGAAAGATCTGGGGGAGCAGCAGGGAGGAGAGCAGAGCAGAGGGAGCAGCAAGTGCAAACGCCCAGTGGCAGCTTGGCCTCTCTGCAAAGTAGAAAAAGCTAGAATGATTTTAGGTAGAAAGTGAGAGAGATGGGCCCAGCAAATGGTGTGGTGGTTAAGGGTGCTGGACTCCCACATGGCTGGCCACAGTTCAAGTCCTAGACTTGGCAACTTGCTTTCTTACTGTCTCTCTCAATCTGTCCCTCTCTGGTCAAAATTTTAAAAATAAAGATAAACAGAATAATAATTTTTAAAATAATATTTTAATTTTATTTATTCATTCATTTATTTTTAATTTGACCAGAGAGAGACACAGAGAAAGAGAGATAGGGGAAGAGAATAAAAGCCACCAGTTCCAGGACTCGAACCATGGTCGGCCATGTAGAAGTGTCCAGCACCTTAACCACCATGCCACCTGCGGGTCCCTTAGAATAATTCTTTAAAAAAGAAAAAGAAGGAAAGAAAGTGAGAGAGTGATGGATAGTGACATTGGATGAGGCAGGGACTAGCTCATGTGGGACCTGGGTTTGATCAGGAATTTAGTTTTTTGTTTTTGTTTTTGTTTTTAATTTGTCAGAAGACAAATGTGCACACTAGAGAAAGGTAGGGGTAGGGAGGGAGAGAGAGCACCCCCAGTGGGGCACAGTCATGCCACAGTCCTGTCATCATTTCTCTGTCCTGTCAGGATTTGGGGCTCACATGTACATACTCCTGGCAACCTCTCTCCTGTAAACACATGTGCCCTATAGCAAAAGTTTTGTTTTTCAAGCTGCTAGGTCCAGGATCCTGACTGCATGGACAGCCATGTGAGATCTGGCTCTCTTAACCACCAGGCCATAGGCCAGCCAAGGAGTTTAGATTTTATTCCAGGCACAGTTGTGTGTGGAGAGGATGTTTAGCAGGGAAGGGACAGAATGTAAGTTTTGTGCTTCTGAACGATGATTCTAGGCAAGAGGAAAAGATGACTCAGGAGGTTTCTACAGTGGTCCAGGGCCGGGCTGGAGAAAAGTAGAATTGGGTCTCAAAGCTTTGTCTCAACAAGTGAAATGTTCTCCTGGCTACTCTTTGGTTCAGGTAAAGACACAGAGGTCTGGGTATTAGGTTGGGATCTTTTCCCAACCCGACTCCTTCTAGGGCCCTGAGAGGTTGGGCTGTCTTTAGAGGAACTTCCTGGGAGATGGTGGTACATGGCTGTAAGGACAGGAGTGTTCCTTGCATGGGCGGAGACCACTGTCCTAGCTAGCTTCTGTGTGTATCTGTGTTCTGCCCCCAGTCAGTGGAAGCCTGATGGAGAGCCAGGCCCCCAAGCCTGGTCACCCAAGGAACGGGCAGCCCTTCAAGAGGAGCTTAGTGACGTCCTCATCTACCTGGTGGCATTAGCAGCCCGCTGCCGTGTGGACTTACCCCAAGCAGTGCTCTCCAAAATGGACACCAATCGGAAACGCTACCCTGCCCATCTGGCCCGGGGCTCCTCACGCAAGTACACAGACTTGCCCCGTGGGGCCACCTCTGAAGACCAGGTTGTGGGGCCCGCAGACCGTGAGTCTGTGGGTCAGGCCTCCACCTAGAAACATGGGCACAGACCCTACAACTCTGCGTGGCATGAAGAGCAGTGGATGGTAGCCATGGAACCTTGTTCTAGTCCTTTCCTAGTAGGTCATGGGCCTGAGGACCCCACTTCCTGAGGTCTGGGGCTCGAGAGTCTCCATAAGATAGTTTCTTGGTATTTTCTCTCCTAATAAAACAGTTTTGGGCAACACAACTTCTAGATTCTTCCTGGGTGGCCAAGAAGATGCTGTTTCAGCAGATGCTATGGGGGGCATGGGATGAGCCCAGTTCTCCATTGTACCTTCTACCTGTGAGGCATAGATCTTATTTCTAGCAAAGTCCCAGATATCTCATGCAAGCCCCTTGCCCCCTTCTGGGCCAATAAATGAGACTGGGACAGGACCAGCAGAAGGTCCTGTTGCTGGACTCCCACATGGCTGATGGTGGTTCAAGTCCCAGACCCCGTGGCCTGTAACTCATGCTGAGCACATTTGCCCGCCCACACAAGATCCAAAGAGGAGAATGAAGAAGAAGGGATTGTGGCGTAGCTATCTCCCTTGGGGGATGATTTCCTGCTTTCCCTCTCACTGTCCCTGTCTCTGGTGAGTGCACACATCCCAAGGCAAAAACCTCTTTAAAATAAGAGAGACTGGGACCAGCAGTTAGCATAATGGCTATGTCGCTGGACTCCCATGTAGTCGACCGCGGTTTGAGTCCCGGACCCAGTAACTTAAACTCACGCCAGGCGCGTGTGTGTGCGTGTCCAAGATCCCAAGAGGAGAATGGAGGAGAAGGGATTGCGGCGTGACCATCCCCCTTGGGAGGTGATTTCCTGCTTTCTGTCTCTCTCTGTCTGTCTGGCGAGCGCACGCGCCCTATAGCAACAACAAAACAAAACAAAACCTCTCCAAAAAAAAAAAAAGAGAGAGACTGGGTTGTATGCAACGGTGGTTAAGAGTGCAGGTTCCAGAGCCAGACTGAGCTCAGATGCCATCTTGACACTTAAAAGCTGAATGATGGGGGCCAGCAGGTGGTGTGGTTGTTAAAGCACTGAACATACCCACATGGCTGACCATGGTTCGAGTCCTAGACTTGGTGTCTTACTTTCTTCCTTTCTCGCTCTCTTTCTGTTTCTGGTCAAATTAAAACAAATGAATGAATAAATAAAATTAAATTATTCTTTAAAAAAAAAAGCTGAATGATGTCCATCAAATTACTTCATTTTTCTGCATTTCAGTTTCCTTGTCTGTAAAATGAAAATAATTGTATTGGGACCAGCAGGTGTTGTGGTGGTTAAGGCGCTGGACACTCCCACATGGCCAACCATGGTTCGAGTCCTGGACCTGGTGGCTTCTTTCTCACTTTCCCTCTCTCTTTCTCTCTGTGTCTCTTTGGTCAAATTAAAATAAAATGAATGAATAAATAAAATTAAATAAATAATTCTTTTTTTAAAAAGTGAATGAGCTTATCTTAGAGCCTCAATATTTAAAATAATAATAATAATTGTACCTACCTGATAGAGTTGTAAGGTTTAAGCGAGTTATTTGAGTGTTTAGGACAGTGCCTGGCACACAGTAAGTACTTGGTAAGTTGTAGTTAGTATCTGTCTTTACGGCTCAAAGCTTTTAAGGCGCTCAGAGCAGGAAATCGGGGTCACACATCAGAGCCCCGTCTCTGATGTGGAGCAGCACAGGGCTTCCTCTCCTCTTGAGCTTGGGCCCTTGGTAAAAGTGAAAACCGCCACCAGCTCATACACACCAAAGACCCACTGCTTGTTCATTTCCTCTCTGGAGTGTTGAGTGCCCGTGATTTACCACGGTGGGCCTCAGGCATACCCTTCCCTTTGTCAGATACCTATGGCCTGACTCCCTCACGTGGTGGGGCAGTGCAGGGAGAAAGGCCTTTAAACTGCTTCCACAATTCACAAGTCACTGACTCACCATCCCTCCGATCCTGTTTCCACGTCAGTAAAATGTATACCCCTGTAGCCTCACCCTCTTGCCCCTCTTACCCAGCAGCCCCTCTTCCTCTCCAGTGAAAACAAGAACCTTATCCTTACTACCTTAGTTATATATTGTAATCTTTCCTCCCTGTGTATTCAACTTCTCTTCCTTTTCTTCAGCCCTTCTCACCAGCTCATAAAGCATATTTGAATTTCTTCCATATTGACCAGACAAAGCCATCAAGCCTCTTGCTACTTCCCTCACGCTTTCCCAGCAAAACCTTTTTTAGTTTGTTTTAATTTTTGCTATAGGGTGTATGTGCTCGCAGGAGAGAGCCTGAAGGGGAATGACCACACGGCATTCCCTTCCCTCAGGATTTGCGGCATGCACACATGCAGACCCAGCATGGTTTTTGTTTTTTAATTTTTTTTAAAGAATTATTTAACTTTATTATCATTATTATAATTTGATCAGAGAGAGAGAGAAAGTAAGAAAGCAATAAAGCAGGCTGCCAGATCTGGGACTCAAACCATAGTCAGCCATGTGGGAGTCCAGCATCCTTAACCACCATACTACCTGCCGGCCCCTATTTATAGTTATTGTTATTTTTTAATTTGTCACAGGGCACACATGATCACCAGAGAGGAAAATGAGAAAGCAAGCCACCAGATCCAGAGCTCAAGCCATGGTCAGCCATGTCCGAATCCAGCACCTCAACCACACCACCTGCTGCCCTGCCCCCTCCACCTCTGCCAGTGTGTTGTTTTTGTTTTTAAGACTGATTTATTTATTCATTCATTTATTTTAATTTGACCAGAGCTAAACACACAGAGTGGGAAAGTAAGAAAGCAAGCCACCAGGTTTGGGACTCCAGCTGTGGTCAGCCATGTGGGAGTGTCCAGCGCCTTCACCACCACACCACCTGCTGGCCCCGCCAGCATGTGTTTCAAGTCACTGGGTCCAGAATTTGAACCACACAGTCAGCCATGTGGGATCCAGCCTCCTCAGCCACCTGGCTGGCCCGGCGTATCCAAACCTTTGCCGCTCCTTTTCTTCATTCCTCCATTTATACCCTAAGCCACTTGGGCCTAGGTCTCACCCCTCCCCTCCACTAAAACCTTCTACCATTTCCACAGCAATCCCCACTTTGTGAAACTCTCCTGTCGACTACTCGGACAAGACACTCAGGTTATCTCCCTACCTCTAGCTGTTCTTCAGGACTCTTAGGTATCCTCTTCTGGACACAGTGACACATTCCCAGCCTATTTCTTTTTCTTTTTCTCAGAGGTTTTTGCTATAGAGCGCATGCGCCTGCCTGAAAAACAGAGAGACAGCAAGAAATCTTCCCCTTGGGGAGATGGCCATCTTGCAATCCCTTCTCCATTCTCCTCGGGATCTTGGGCACACACACACACGGGCCCGGCTTGAGTTTAAGCCACCGGGTCCAGGACTCGGACCACGGTTGACTGCATGGGAGTCCAGCGACATAGCCATTACGCCAACTGCTGGTCCCCTCCTAGCCTATCTCTAAGCTGTTATTTCCAATCACACCCTTGACCCCTCCATGTTTACCTCTTGCTCAACATGTCCAGATTAGTGTGTGACGTGACCCCCACTTTAACTCCTATCCTGCTCCCCTATTTCACCCAAGATGAGAAATAAATTCAGTCCCATC